AACTCCAAAGATATAGAATATTATCTGAATGAAAATGGTTGTCTATTTTCCGCTTCTGCTCGTGTTTTAAAAATGACACGGAGTCGTGAAATCGTAGAGGCTATTAGAAAAAGTGTGGTAACTAACATTTTGCAGTTATAAACGACCGTTAATTCTTTACTAAGAACTCTATCGTTGTGATCGGGAGGTATATATGATTTACTTTTCAATAAATACAATTTGGTAATTTCAAGAGGTGACTTCGAGAAAAGTATACGGACAATGTTTCCAAGCTTTTGCACGGAATGAATTGGAAAATGTAGATAGACACGTGACCGAAACATTTTCCTTATACCTTTAGATTAGAACGAAATAAAGTAGTAGCTCCAGAGTTAGATACGCGAATATATATTTTTTTATTTATTTATTTTATTTATTTATTTATTTATTGTCTTTAATGCTTTTGTGCGACAAATCATGACACTCAGTCTATTGCAGGGGGCTATGGTGACCGTAACAGTGGCGGTGACGGAATGGTTACACAAGAGGATACTATTTTTGTATCCGGTATGGATCCATCGATTTCGGAAGAAGAGATTTGTCAGCATTTCGGAGCGATTGGTGTTATTAAAGTACGTATTCTTTCGTGGATCAATATTTATATCATATGTCAATATTTCGGAATCTGTAATCTAATTTCTTTGCGTCAACTCGAAAAGAACAGAGAACGTATTTAAAATTAAACGTAAATGGTAGAATGATAAGGTATAGAGTAAATTAAAGCACTTTTAAATATTTAATGAAAACTTTCTAGCACGACAAACGCACAGGCAAGCCGAAAGTATGGATGTATAAAGATAAGAATACGGGCAAATCGAAGGGCGAAGCGACAGTCACGTACGATGATCAAAATGCCGCCCGTTCAGCTATCAGTTGGTTTGATGGTAAGGACTTCAAAGGTTGCACAATAAAGGTGCAAATAGCTCAGCACAAAAGCAACTGGCAAGGCAGCCGTATGGGCGGCGGTCGCGGCAGCGGTGGCCGAGGTCGAGGTGGTAGCTTTGGCAGTCGTGGCGGAGGCGGTGATCGTGATGATCATCATCGCGGAGGTGGTGGCGACGATCGTCGTGATAGTGGCGGCCGCGGAGGCGACTGGAGGTAAACATGAAATTGTATTTTTATATATAAAAAAAAAAGATAAAGAAAAAGCTTTTATCAGAAAAAATAGGAGAAATCATAAATTGAAGTAGAATCAAAGTATAAATTAATTAAAATATAAATGTAGATATGCTGTATAGCTTATTGAAGTTGGAGATATTCCTGAAAAAAAAAGAAATAAGGAAGATTCAAATCACAAAACAACTAAAAAGAACCTTGAAATAGGTGTTCCAATCCTGATTGCGGTAACACGAATTTCGCTTGGCGGGATCAGTGTAATCTTTGCAAAAGCGCAAAACCAGAAGGTCTCGGTTATGGCGGAGGCGGTGGCGGTAGAGGTAGTGGCGGTCGGGGTGGTGATCGTGGAAACCGAGGAGGTTATAGAAATGACCGAGGCGGACGTGGAGGTGACAGAGGTGGCAGAGGCGGTGGCGGCGGAGGCGGAGGTTTCCGTGGTGGCGATCGAGGCGGTCGCGGAGGTCGAGGTGGTCCTATGAGAGGAGGTGGCGGGTACGTTTTTTATATCATGTATGATTTTTAATTCTATAAATTATTTTTTATATATTAGCCATGAAAGGATAAAGATCAAACGATAGTTTTAAGGCTTAGTTGTCTCTCTGTAGTCATATTGAATTATGACATTAAAGGCGAGAAATGACATGTAAACAGTTTTCTTGTCATATAGCTTTATCTTGCACTTTTTCCTTAAAAACATATTTTCATATTCTAAAAACTTGTAAACAATACCAGAAAATAAGATATCTATTTATATGTCATTTCTCGCCTCTGACGTCACACAACCCATGTCGCACCGCGAAAGAATCGAATCTTAAATAGGTATGTATATACTAAAGTATCCATCAATGACGCATTTATTTTGTTACAGTCGAGGCGACAGGGACAGAGATCGTCAGCGACCATATTAATTTCATATTCTTTGAAATATCAATGATCAACTCGCCGTCTCGCTAAACAACTTGTACACATATTGTACAAGTTTCAGCGCTTGTATATTTCGTAAAGTGAAAGAAATTAGTTTTCACTCTATACTCGTAATATGTATTTCTTATCATCTTTCTTTTCGCATATGATCTTTTTTATATTCATCGAAATTACGTATCACACGTATATTATCTTTATGTAAAATCAGAGTATCTTCAATAGACAACAATAGATAACTTACAACGTTGTAAATGATCGAAAACGATTTATTTAATACCCGCCATCCCATTCGAGGTTTGTGCAAAATAAAGAGAGAAAGAGGAATTTGGGAAAATTCATTTATTGAAAATTGAAAATATAATACACATCTAATTTATATATATGTATATGTATACAAATTTGATGGAGAACAACCCAGACATGACCAAAATAAATTACGGTATGTCCTTTGTCTATCCGGACGCAAGAAAAAGCCGACTTCCTTTATAGTAAACGAACTGTATTTTAATACTATATTTTAATGTATTTTTCTTTTTCTTTTATCATGATAAATATATAATAATCGCGTTCGCTAAAGATATTATGTATGTATACGTGTATGATGTAGTGTATATCGGTATTTATATAATTTTTTTTCCGGTATGTATATGTACACAGATATACCTAGGTATGGATAGATTACATGAAGACCTCTAGTTTATGGATTTATTTGAATGCGCCACAATCACCGTTTTGTTTCTGCTTAATCTTTACGTTTGCGTGAATCCTTGGACAATTCCTAAAATTACAAAAGAAATCAATATGAAGAACTTAGACATTTTCAAAGTTACCTATTAATATATAATCTTATACAGTATTATTTTTCTTATTCAGAAAATACAATCAAATATTTCTTTGAGATATTGATCTGTAATATAATTCCAATGCAAATTAAATATCATTTCTTCCGCGCGTGTCTTTTATTTCATATAGCAATATCTTTATCTTATTATTTATACTTTATATTTTAATTTTCACACTTTTCAATGCTATAAATGCTCGATCTTTTTAATCTACTTAATGAAGATATAAACCGAGTTCGTAAACACTGATAGAAGATTATTATCGATTGCTTTTTCCAATTTATTCTTTCTGTTTCTATTTGAATTATTTCAAACTAACGAACATATAAATAATTAATCGTTTAACGTTAAAACGGATAATCTGTTTGGCTAAATTTCTTTTGAATATTAATATTCTAATAAGAAATAGCATGGCAATTCTGAGAGAGATTTTTGTAAAAAGGAGATGGATTAATTCAAGGATTACCTTTTGCGTAAGTAATACAAGAAGATGTCGGAAAACTCCCACAAAGTCAATGAACAAGTCCAAAGAATGCATGATGAAGTCCCTGTTGCCCATGTGGTACTTCTCGATGATCAGTTGCGTGTCATAAATAATGAAACCGGAGACCATAGCCAATCCCACGTATAGATGCAGTTGGTAGAAGAAAGCCGAGCGCACGAACAAATTGACGAAGGAGAATAAGACCATAGTATTCAGTATGCTCATCAAAAAGCCACCAAGGAACAGATAACTACCACGTGCAGCCAAAAGTGCAGAAATGCTGAAGGAGACGAAAACGACAGTCGTACCTGTAAACATTTCATTTCATAATTATTAGATTATGAAATAGCTATCGTATCAACCTCGAAATATCTTTTATTTAAATTAATTTAAAAAATATATCTTCCAGATTTCTTATACATTTAGAAGTGATCATCAGTATTGTCATTCGATAATAGTTTTAAAACACATTATTTCAGTAAATGTTTTTATTATCTTTTCAAAATGCTTCTGATAATAAATACACCAATTCAATTATTTTAATCTTTAATTCAAAAATTTCATATAAAAAACAAACTTGGGAAAATCAAATTTATTTAAATCTTGAACGACTTAGTTACATTGATCAATTCGACCGATTTTATGATTGATACTTCATCTCAAAGCACTAATGAAAAGTAAATACGGCTGATTTACTCACCGATTAGCGATGTCATCACAATACTTGGATCTATGCTGACTACCATTTCCAGTAAGGGTCCCAAACCAAGACCAGATAGAAACGCGAATCCCAGGAGATAGCCGAGACGCATCTTATGGTTTTTGCCATTGTCGGGTGTTGTCATTAACGCGATGAGAAGGCCCAGGGTACCGATAGTTGTTAGAAAATTGGCCTGCAGGAGTTGCGTGTACATATGCACATAAGCCCCTGCGGCCGCCGACACGGTAGACATGGCTAGGCAAGCGTAAACATTCTTCAAGTGTTGTCGGACTGGCGCATCTCTAAACAGTATCATGTATCATCAATTAATGTCAATTCACTTTCATCTATCTATTCGATATCGATGATTATCACGAAAATAATTATCCAAAAACAACTATCTTTGTAACGCATCACATATGCACTTATGCCTCACATGTAGGCACTTATGAGCTGCAAAGATCAAGTTCCACTAGTAATTTACATTTTCGAGATTATTTTATAATAAAAATATATTCGAAATATCGAGATATATCTTTCAATTCTCGTCAGTAATCTCTAGGGATCTAGATACAATCAAAGATATAAAGAAATTGGAAAGAGAGAATTAAATTTCGACATATAAGAATTCATGCTTGAATACACAATCATGGAATCTTAATGTCTTAGTCAAAAATTATTTTTTGTTCCTAATTTTTTCCTAATATTTAAATTTTTATTCCCGTTCATAGTATCTAAGCCTTATAAATAGCATGAAGCAATTTTTTTTCTCCTGGATAGTTTCTCCGCATGCAGCGCTGCGCTTAAATGCGTATCATACGCAGTTGATACGTCCATTTCGACGTATATAAATTTTAATCTTGATTTCACTTTTTATTTTTGTTAAATCTAAGAATCACAAAGAGATTAAAAAGAAAAAGATTAATTTGCGTTGATAAAAATGGGGGTGTGTTTGTGTGTGTGTGTGTGTGTTGTGTGTGTGTGTGTGTGTGTGTGTGTGTGTGTGTGTGTGTGTATCTTTTATATAATTATGTTTTTGATATCATTCTGAAATGTTAAGCATCTAACCATTTAAATATGATTATAATCAGCTTAATTATAACTTTTGTAATTCAAAGTAGATCGTATGACATCATTAATTGTTCAAGCAATCAAAATCCACTGTGATCGAAAGTGCTGTTAATCATAATATAATTCACTTTTTTAATTTTATCCATTTTCAATTTTAAAAATTAGAAAATAAAGAATAATAAAATAAATCGAGATTAAAGTTAATCTACATTGACAAAAATAAACACAAATTAATCAAAGGTTGGCCATGGTCTCTCAACGATGGATGGACATGATAAATGTATCAACATTTACGTCATTATCATTAGCATACACAAATTTACTATTAATATCATATACAAAATAAAGACAATGCTATCGAAAAAAATAAAACTCCATTAAGCAACATTATAGAAATCGGCTTCTTCCTTTATTCCCTTCTTTTCTCTCTCTTCATCTGTCTTCCAAAGTACATATTTTTGTACGTAGAAATTTTTTCTCATTTATCCTTCTCACATTCATAATCTGATTTATATCAATTTCTATCAATATAAATTAATTCTTTACTCTTTTATTAATTTAATTTACTCTGTCTTTTTTAATTTATAAAAGTAAAAATAAAAAAATAAATTCAATCAAAATTATATTATTAAAAATGGACATTAAGGTAATTTTGATTAAATTCTGCTTCGATCGATGATTAATTTAATCGATGGATATCCATTTCTATCAATGTAAGTTAACTTTAATCTCTTTATTTTTTATCAAATAATTCAATATAACAATAAGTTGAGAACCTCAAACATGTAAACTTCAAACAGTAAATAATAGATAATACTCGAGTTCTTCGATTCTTGGATGTCTAACAATTTCCTTTTTTACATATATGATCATAAATATTCAAAATGAATATTTATTGCTAACTACGTGCCGTTATTTTTAGCAAATTTGCAACTAGGGCCTCAAAGCCAGAGACAATTTTACCGTTAATAAATCAGTCAAATATTATCTCCTCTTTTCTTCCATAAGAAATTCTTATTGCGAAAAATATTACCGCAGATAGGATTCAAACCTGAAATTTTCCGACGCTTTTTTTCACACTTTTTATCGTAAATTTTTATATACATACATAAATTATTAATTAAAAAAAAATAGGAAAAAGATTAGGCGTCCAAACTCCTCTGTGCCAAATATTATTCGTTATTAATATCCATTACTTTTTATCTTTTTCACGTTCTAAGTGTTAGTCCACAATAGGTGATTTAAGAAGTAAGAAATTGAATTGAATCATAATCGAATATGAAAAGAATAATCGCTTATGATAGGTCATAGGTTTTCTTACGGCTTAAAGATTAAATACCTCGTGGAGTGAAATTAAGAGTTAAAAAAAGATAAAAAAAAATAAGCCGAGGTCGATATTAATTTACATCAGTAGAAATAGGCAGGAAGTCTAAACAAAAATGTTCAAACGTAAAATGTCCTCTCCTTACGCAAGTATCATCAAACAATAAAAAAATCAATAATCTACGTTAGCAAAATAATAAGGTTATCGTTAACGATAAATTAATCGTCGATTAACTATCGTTCTCTCCAGTCATCCTTCCGTCCCACGATTGCAAGTGACAACACGAAGAAACGAATGTAAATAGAGAACAGAGCGCATTATGTTTTTGGGAAAAAAAGTTCTCTGTACAGAGGCTTTCCGCATCTTGACTTGAACTGCTCAAATTTTAAAGCTTACGAGGAGGCGTGGTGAGGGGGAGGAGGGAGGGGAGAGGAGAGAGGAGAGGACTTCTCTCCGTTGAAAACATCGTCATCAACAGGAAAGTCGCGAAATCTCGGCATACAAAGTATTCGCTTTCACTGTACATAAATATGCAAGCGCGACGTAGCTATTACGTCGCATCGTCCATCCATGTACGAACTAGTGGTGGTGGTGCTCGTTCCAGAACACGTACGAAACGTCGAGACTGAAGGTCACGTATCGCGCACGAATACGTAACAACGCGACGTAGATTATACCAATCGCTTTTCTTCTTTCTTTTTTCTTTTCGTCTTTTTTATACAACAGCGCGGAGGTAAAAACGAGACGGCCGCTCGGAAGATCACGAGAATTGCGTCACAGGACCATATCTCGTGGATATAATAGGCAGAGGGAGATAGAGAATCACGAGAGGAAAAGAGTAAACACACATTCTCGTTTTCGCTTATGATCGTCGTCGTCGTCGTTAACGAGCGTCGTGATACTCACAGCTTGCTGGTGAAGGCATTGACGAAAGCGTTCAAGTTCAGAGTTGTCGCCATAATTTTGTCGTTGCTGGACTCTTGTTGATTTCTCGTGTCTAGCTTCCTCCTCGACGATCACGACTCGATACGATACGATACGATACACGAGACGTTCCGCTCTCGCTTCCGATCCAATGACTGGCGATATTGCCCGACTTAATTCTATGCAAGCGCGGGGAAAGACGTCACGCGAAGCGAGCCGACGAATTACACGAACGTACGTAGCCAAGCTCGCCACGGGGACACGTCAGTGATAATTCTACGCGTAAATGCCAGTCGACGGGGCAGACGAGGATAGGAGAGAACAAACGTGTCCGATTGGCCATGCGCGCGGACAATAGAGCGACGCACCGTCAGACGGCGCCAGCCGCTCACCCGCTGCTATTTTCTTAAAAAAAAAAAAAAGACGATATCATTTTGTGATAAATTCTCATCGAATTTTAGTCAAAATTATGTTTGTTTAAATTTTTGGTTGGCTGTGTTGATCGGTTATAGAGTAATGAAGTTTCTAAACTTTCAAAATTATTTATCCTGCAACCCCAATACGTTCAAAAAAATTTATCATATATAAATATTAACCATTTACAAACGACAATTGTCCTTTCTGCTTCCATTATTTTCTACATTTTTTCCTTTCACTTTTCCTTCAATCGATTAACTGAGAAAATGCATATGTTCGAAAAAGAAAACTGATCTAGAAATTTCAGAAAATTCATATAGCTTTATTTTTATATTAAATCTTATTGCCGTGCGACTTTGATAGAAGATATTTAAAAATACAAACTAAAAATGGATTTATCTCTAAAAAAAAATTTTAATTTTTAATCACCGTGCATCTTTTTCTAGAAAAAAATTTGAGTAATAGCAAATTCGATCACTTGCACTAATTTGGGTTAGTGCGCGCTAAACGCTGCTATACATAAAATTATTGAAAAATATAAAAATATATCAATAGAAGTATTATGCAGTGGCATAATATTTCTTTGATGATGAAGTGCATATTCTGCTAAATGATACAGCGAATTATCGTTGATGAGTTTTGTCATATCATTTAGCAGACTATGCATTTCATCAAAGAAGTATTATGCCACATATATTTAAATATTCATATATATTTCATATATAGCAACTTTTAATGTGTACTAATTCGGTATAGCGAAATGATCAAATTCGCTACAGATATTCACACTGCACATCGCACGTACTTTTTTTTTAAAACAGATTATGTTGATACATGATTAAAGAAACATCATGATTTTTCAGAAATATATATGAGAAAGAGATTAATATTAAATATATTAAATATAAACACATATATAACATAAACTAAATAAAAAAAAGAAACAATCCTGCAATCTTGCACGAGGGTAATGTTAATTATAACAAATGTTTCCAAACTTACATGGTTTTTTCTTCGGATTTATAATATCGTTACGTATTTGCAACTTATTAAAATACTATTTCCTCTCTTCTTTTCCATATCATCTAATATCAATACCCTATCAAAACGTACAGTCTTCGTACCCGTTCAACATATATATTCAAAAATTACAATACAACGTAAACCACTTCAGGACTATATATTTTTAACGCTACTGATTCATTTTCAGCTAAAAAGAGAGATAAAAAAAGAGCAATCGTAACTAAATTAGAATACGGAGCTTTCTTGATATATGCTGCGGTATTGTTTCTCCTATACATTCCGCTAGGTAACGCTATCGAAACAGTTATTCAGTAGACTTTATTATAATCATAAAGTGACTAATATGAATGCCTTGAACGCTATATAATTCCCATCACAATATCAAATCGCATTAATTAAGCAACAACTCTAAGATGGAGGACACTGTATTCTTACAACGTCACCACCTTCCGATTGATTATCACTATCTTCGGACGAACTGTCCATCGATGAATCATCGAAGTGATAATAGTTGTCATCATGATCTCTGACATCATTTGGATCTTCGATTCCGTAACGCGTATAAAGATTCTAAAAAAAAAAATATATATTAATGAAACATTCGATTCATAAAATTGATAAAAAATGCCTATGATATATATTACTTACACGTACTCTCTCTCTATGACGGATATGTCTCAATAAAATCCAAAGTAACTGGCCATCAAACGAATCAGGCACGTTTTCTTGCTTTCTATTCCTGGCATTGGATTTAACGCACTTATGGGAAAAAAAAAAAAACGTAGAATATAAATTAGATATATCGATATGCAATCATTCTGTTGTATCCAAATATATTTACTTATTTTCAGAAAATAGCAAAAATTATAATTACATGATAAAATAAAAAAAAATGCAAAAATATAGAAAAAATGCATATATAAATAAAGGAATGAGATAAATTGTAACCCGTTCCGAGAATAATAAACTAACATGTAAAAAGATATAATTTCTCTCTCTTTCTATACATACATTTGCAAATAATTTCATTAATGGAGGTTCTCCGCAAGAGGGAACCCATATCTTGACATCATAATCTAATCCACTTGTTGCAAGAATGGGGATATGCGGATGTCCTTCTAAACAATTTACCTGTGTGGTAAAAAAATTATTATTTCTTCTTCTATGTTACTAAAACAAGAAATTTATATATGTTTTTACAATATAAGACTCACAACTCCTTGTTTATCTCCTGCCATCCACTGTACAACAGCCTCTGTATTTTTGTCCCAAATAAATATATTACCGCAATCGGACCCAGATATAACATACTCGCTTTTAGGTCCAAAGAAATTGACTCCCTTTACTGCAATCAAACGACAGATAATAGTATAAAAAAATGTATCTGATATTAAATAATAAATCTTAAAGCATTATATATTTTTTTAATTATTGAAAAATTTTTTGGAAAGCTATATACATATACACATACACAAGATTCTTAAAAAATTTCAGCATAAAATTTTAATAACAGTTCAAAAACAAAATCATTTATTTCTGTGACTTAGTTTTTTTCTATTGAAATATATATTAGACATAAAAAGTCGACGAATATCTTGAGAACAAAAATCCTTTAATATAATTGTATTTTATGTTTAACATACCAGTTACGCTATTCCTATGACCTTGATATCTATGAGCATAATCTACACGCGACGACATCAATCTATCAAATAGGTATATGTCCTCATCATTATATGATGCGAGAATTTCGGTTCCATTGTGATTATATACAGCGCATGTTACATGCGCGTGCTTATTCCCCGTCTGAAACATTTAAATTATATACACAAAATTAATCATAAATGACATGAACCTGCGAATTCATTTAATTTTCAACATTGCTAAAAGATTGTTTTTCAAGGATTATGACATACTGCAACGTACCAGATGATCAGGGCACAATTTATAAAGTGGCGTTGAAACTTTTCGTCGATCGTATACCCTTACATAATGGGAACGACCACCGACGCAAAATTCATTACTATTAAAAGGATTAGAATGTATACTGAACAATTGCACCTCTGACGAACCTTCCTTTACTACAAGTAATCTGTAGAAAAAAAAGTCTTATTTATATGTCTAATATAATACTCTACAAAGAAATAACTATAAATTATAAATATCTATAAAAAATATAATTAATAAAAATATAATTTTTTAATTGTGATACGTAATTGTAATCTTTTTAATTGAGAATAATTATCGCTCACTTGTTTGGTTTGCTCTCTCGAATATCTATAGAGAATACCCTTGCATCTTCTCCAGCAGAAAAAACTACATGAGGTGTTTCAGGATGCACAGCCAATTTATGCGAGGGTCCACGATGCGCCGCCAATTTCTTCGACGTATCGTGTTTAAGATCCAATAAACGTACCTGACCATCTCTAGCACAAGTGACCATAAGATATTCCACATCTAACGGTAACCACTTAGCCTAAACACATATGATTCAAATATAAGTCAAAAAAATTGATTAAAAAAAGTAAATACAGTAATATCAAAACAAATTATATTAAAGAAATTAGCATCTCAAAATTAATATTTTAGTTATAAATACATACTTGAAACATATTGCTTGTATGACCACTCATGAACCAATGACGCTTTTTCCCTACAGCCCAATCCCAAATAACAACTGCTAAATCATCAGAGGCACTCGCTAACAAATTTCCTTTTTGATTAAAGTTTAAGGCATTTACGCAACCCTATAATAATTGAACTCAATAAATCTCAATGACGTAATATAATAATAATTTCAATATGTGTATATATATATAT